AAAAAAAGGAAAAAATAAATTCTAATCGATCAAAAAAAAAAAAAAAAAAAAAAAAAAAAAAAAAAAAAAAAATAGACGAAAATGTAAAAAAAATAAAAAACAAAAAAAGTATATATATAAAAAATAGTGATTTTTTTTGTCTCTCTTTTAAAAATAAAATCGACCCAAGACAGGGGGACGGTCGAACTTCAAGAGACTAGTAATAAGAATGAGGCTAGCAATTAATACCGATTGAGGGATAAGGCAGCCGATAGTTCTTGGGAGAAAGCTGCTGCTGCTGCACGGAATGTGGATGCCAGTTTCAGAGTTGAATCTGGAGGATGTCAACCATGAGAGATGGAGGAGGGAAGGCGAGGATCAGTCCTTCATGTATGTAGGCCGGATGCCTCTGCGATGGAATGACGATGTCAATATCCTGGTCTCAGAATGTTGTAGAACGACGACATGCCATGACATGAGAGGTGGCCGACTCTTATGACTTGAACCTGTTGAGAGGGGGGGAAGTTGTGTGTCTTGTCCTGTCCTGTCCTGTCCTGTCCTGTTCTGCTCTGCTCTGCTCTGCTCTGGTCGGGTTTTGTCTCACAGCTTGGCCGTAATTTCAGTTCCGGGTCGTCTGGAGGTACCAGGGCATGCTGGAAGTTACCAGACGGTTACAGACACCATCCAGTGGTGCGTTGACTGAACCCGTTTCTTTTCCTGCCTTGAGTTTCCTGCCCTTCCCGGTCGCATTATGGTTCTTCGGGGACCAGTAGAGTCGATCGATTAGAGATCGGTCGACAATAATGATGTGATCTTAATTCATTGTCCTTTATTATATTTTACTTTTTGACTTTCAACTGTCCTGTCGGTCAATTGTCAAGCAATGCCCAGTATCCTGCATAGATTACAAGCCACTACTTTACGTATGTAGTCTCTAGGGTTCTGATTTTATTCTGGCTCTGTTAATAGTGCAGCTGCCACAGGACTGACCTAAATACTAGATCATCACCAGCCTATAACTAACTGTACTTTTACTTACGCGTGCCTATACCTCACATGCAGGCCAGCGAGGCTTGGTTTGGCTGCGTCAACCACCCCTCGTCCGCCCATCGTCGCTTTTCTCCCTCTCGTTGGTGCTTCGCTCCCAAAGCCGAGGGTCGTGTCGTCATGACTGATCCTGGTGGATGGAGTCGTCCGGGGCGATCACCTGGACGGTTGGGTACTGGTTTCGATCTGCCATTCTCCTCTTCCCTCAGGAACACTCGTGGCCTTGTTGTACTTGTGGTTCAGCAAATGAGAGCCCGAACGGCCGGTAATCGGCGTATCGGTTCGCCCTCGCTGGTCACCTCCACCACCTCCACCGTTCCGTTCCCACTGTCTTTCATGCCTTAGTCATGCTGAGTCCATACAGCGCACGAGATATGGGTCTATTGGAATTTTTGCGAGGGCATATAAAAAAAGGTGAAAATTGAGAATGAGAATACTAAGTGGACCATTTTCACCTTGGCGGACCATGGGGTACCCTGGTGCCCTGGTTCCTTTTTTCTTTTTTTTTTTTTTTTTTTTTTTTTTTTTTCCCATAGATATTTTTATTTTTTAGTATATTGTAGGACCTACAGGGTCATTTTTCTCACAATCTTTTTTTTTTTTTTTTTTTTTTTTTTTTTTTTTTTCTGTGGCTGCCTGTCACTGCTTAACCCAGCTAAACCTCCATTGAACAAGTGTCAGTCCTCAAACTCGATGCTGAGTGGGTGAACCATGATACCTTTCTCGGGTCTCCCAGGCTGTCGGAAGTACGGCGCTACCAGGAATCTACCATGGTCATGTTTCCGGAAGATCGATTGCAGTCTGCGATTGGCAGACCATGGATCGTAGCTATCATCATCATGATCTCTCCATGACAACCAGAACCCTGTCGATTATTCATCCTTCAAAAAGGTCCCTTTTGGTCAATTTACCATCAAAGTATTCCGTACAAAGGTCAGGCATGAACCCACCATTTGCTAATATTACCTCAGCCTCGTGCAAAGGCCTGCGGCTGTGTTGCATACCGTGACTCGCGAGGCGGTTACGGGCTCCACCCCGGGCGTTTCAGACTCTTCTGTCAGACATGAAAGGACCCCCTCCAGTCGCCATGTCCATCATTCCTCGCAGGTTTTATCGGGTAGTCGATCCATGTTGTCCGGTTTAAGGCATTTGGACAATTTCATCTTCCTGATGCAATATCGGTGTAGGCATACGGACCATAGGAATGTTCTACCGGCTCGGGCCTTTCCCAGCTGCCTAACTAATGAGTAGCACCAACCCTTCTGAGTTATCCATCCGGGCGCAGTGGACATTCCTTGATCGCCCGTCACTCGGCTTTCAACGGAACCCGTTTCCGTGCTCTCACTCTGCGCCGTCGTTGTCGTTGCTGCACCCCGGGGGCTAGCGGATGGTCTGATCCATTTTTTCTTTCCCTCGCCAGCAGGCTGGCTGCTGGATGCTGGTGCAAAAATACCTGATTCATTTCGTGTCTTGAGTTGCGCTTGGGTGCCCCCAGCTAAAGCCGGCTTGTCTTGGTAAGTGTGGCTAGCGAGCTAGCTGCAGTCGATTTCTTCTTCCTTCACAGTGGGGAAAGGGAAACCAAGCCGAAAACCCCGAATCCCTACTCCCGTTCCCCTACCCTGCCATGCATTTGGGGGAGGGGACGGAGTGAGCTAGTTGGCCTCGGATCCATGCCTGCGGCGTCCAGCATCGCAGATGCTTGACTCCTTTTTCCTTCGTGCGTGTGCGTTTTGAGGACCGTGAGATCCTTGAGGCATTTTCTGCTTATATACGGGGTAAGATTCTTGTGCTATTTTTGTTGATCTCTCTCTAGTTTCGTAGTGTCCGGTAATTCGCCGATCCGCGATGGCCCTGCAACTACAGACTACTAGATGCCTTGTCCATCCCAGCATCACGGCTAATTGCCAAGAATGGGAATGATGACAGCTATGGACTTTAGGTCGGATGTTCACTTTGGTGACCCCAACCACCAACCACCACCCCGGAACGCTTTGCTGTCTGTACCTAGCAATCCATACAGCACTCCACCTGTACTTCATTCCCCTCTTCAACCCCACTTTGGAAAGGATGATGCTGGCTGCTGCTCCAGATGCAGCAGTATAACCAGTAGCCACATCCTATAGTCTTCCAATTGTGCATACGGGGACTGGAAAGACAGGTCGTCTGGTGCAGAGGGAACGATGCACGGCAGGTCCGTGTCACCTGATATGCCTTGCCCATGCGTCTTTTTCTGTCAAACGGACATAGCCACGAGTAATGGCCTATGGGAATTTTGACGTACTCTGGGACTAGGATCACGGCCTCAGACAAAAGAAGTAAACCTGCATACTTTACCGTGCGTAAAACTATCACCCCGGACCCATGCATTGGCCGTATGGAAACAATGTATGTATTGAGATTGATACCATACTCACGATCGCTACCGGGTGTTGCGGAAGTCAGGCACATGTATTCTTCTTTCTCAAGAGGGCCGCTTTTCTTTCTGTTTCCATGGCGATTCAGAGGATAGCTTGCTTGACTTCCGGGCCTTTCCACATCTTCTTCAGGCTCTTACGGAAGGAAAAAGAAGAGGGCCATTGCCGTGGTGCCGACCTGCACCGATGCACTGATACCGCTAGTTTAGGGTAGTCACCGGGTGCCAGCATCGCCTTATGGAGGTCATCCTACTGCTGGACTCTCCTCTGGCATCTGCAGGATGGTGTAATCGCGCGTGAGCATCCGGTCCGCACCCCGTTGGCGGTAATGCACGAGGACTAAAACGTCAGTGCCTACGACTTGTCCTATCTAGTTACTTTGCAACTTCTTTCCATCTTGAGTGGTGGTGTTCAACCGCCGAGGGTCCAACACTGCCAATCACCATCGGTAAGGCTTTAGTCACAGTGCAGCGGTAATTCACTAGTTAATTAGTTAGTTATTTAGTTAGCAACACTCTGTACTAGACTAGTTCAGAAGTGGATAGTTAGCAAGTCGTAGTAGGAGAGTATCTCGTCAGCAGATGAAGCTTCCCAGTTCCTGCTGCTTCGAGACAGCGAGACGTTACGGTGACATCATCTCACATGCATCCGTTCTCTTTCGTATTTCCTTCCCCTCCATTGAAAGACCAGGAACGGACGAGGCATCAAAACAGGGAATATCCGCAATTCATGAACAGTGGTGTCTTATTCAGTTTTCCCGTCTCTTCAGAAACTTCCGAGGTGGGATGAGGGCATAAGACGAGCGAGAGAGAACCTCGCCGAATATCCGAGCCTGAGGGTCGAGATAAGACTTCCTCTTGTCGAGCGGGTTACAGTCCATTGAGCTCGTTCCTGCAACAGAGCTTCCCTTCCCACCCCCCCGTGTATGGCATCAACAACGACGTCATGGTTAGGGTCTGGGACTACCAGATCTTCCCCCCCCAACTGACCATCGCGCAATTCTAGACTATCTAGACTACAAACCGCAGTATCAACTGACAAACCGACTATGTAACGAGTGACTCGTCAATCCATGGGAAGCGACCGTCACTAGCGTCTTCCTGACGAAGATTGGGTTTCCCCCCCCTCTTCTTCCCTATCTCCCAAGGAATAATGCTTTTCACATCATGATGCTGTAAGAAAAACAATAATAATGATGATGGGGGTTTCCTGGACTGGCCTGTGGATGGCGCAGGAACGTGTTCCCAGTTGCGCCCGGGTTGTGATTCGCTTTCGGCAGGTACGGAGTCTTTCCAGCGTCTCCTCTACTGCCCCGCCACACCCCGCCTGAAGCTGTTGACCGAAAACCACAACCACCACCACCACTAGCTAGCCAGCGACCGAGAATACTACTACTACTACACTTCCTTCTCTTCTTACAACTCGTGAATTTTCCCATCTTACATCTCCCCCCTCACCTTTCATCTCACCCACGTCTTATCTAGCCGTAATAATGGCCGGATCTGCCCCCAACCTCTACAGCTTCCTCAGCAACGACGCTTTGGCCCAGCAATTGAGGCCCTACGTCCTGCGGTGTCAGAACTCGGCCCTCAGCCGTCACAGCACATTCCGCGTCGCAGTCTCTGGTGGCTCCCTTCCAAAAGTTCTCGCCCAAGCTCTACTGGCCCCTGGAAATGGATCCCCCGAAGATACCGCTCAGTTCTCCAAGTGGGACATCTTCTTTGCCGATGAGCGCGCCGTGCCCCTCGATCACGAAGACAGCAACTACCGCCTGCTAAAGGAAGAGCTGCTGAACAAGATTCCCTCGGAGCTGGGTGCCCCGACCGTGCACACGATCGACGCCGATCACGTCAACGATGAAGACCCGCAGGAGCTGGCGGATTTGTACCAGGAAGAGCTGATGCGCTCCTTTGCCGCCAAGGATAGCGTCAAGCTGCCCGTTTTCGATCTAATCCTTCTGGGGTGCGGCCCCGACGGCCACACTTGCAGTCTCTTCCCCGGACACGAATTGCTGCGGGAGAAGGATGCCTGGGTGGCTGCCATCAGCGACTCTCCTAAGCCGCCCCCGAAGCGCATTACCTTGACTTTGCCCGTGGTGACGCATGCCCTCAACATCGCCTTTGTTGCTACTGGCGGTGGAAAGAAGGATATCATGAAGCAGATTTTCGACGCCGAGGAGGGGAGAGACCTGCCCTCCACTCTCGTCAACCAGGGTGGTGGCGAGAAGGTGAGCTGGTTCACCGATAATGCGGCTGTGGAGGGAGTCGCTTTCCCCCGACGTGGAAGCCTGTAACTTATGGGTAGAAAATGGTACGAAACTACTTCGATATGATGGCTGGGGTGAAGGATAAGGAGAGAGTCATGGCGAGGCTACGGAAGGATTCAACTAATCTCAAAATGGGCCCCTGGGCTTTACTGTCATTCGACCACCTGTATTACCAGAGCAAGGGGGGGACGGCTCAGGAACACGTACGTTCAAGGCTGGATGAAGTGTTCATTGCCTCTTATCTTCTATCTGTTGGAGAGTTTCTTTTAGACTTGCCAAAAGTTTGTGTTATCGTTATCCTTCTGATATCACGGACGGGTCTTAATTGAACGATTGACGGTGATCCTGTAATCATCATTCCAGCTATTTGTCTCTAGTACTAATTAGTGAGATGCAATTTCACCTATCTCTGAAGTATCCATGTAGATAGGTGTAGGGAGTGAATGAATGATAGCTGTCCATGCAGATGCGCTCGATCCACCTGACGCAGTGCCAAGCTTTGCCCTGGGGGAAGCGGAACTTCACCGCAAGACGGGCAACCACGGACCTGCCGTCCTCAGCTGAGCTCAGGCCTCGTCTATTTACAACGACGGTTTCCGGGCAGCGTATCTATTCCCCTCGGCGAGGCCCCATCTTGGACTGATCTGATAGCTACCTAGTCGAATGTCACACACATATGATTTGATCTTCAGCAATCATGCCAATCCCAACGCGTTCCCTTTCGCTTCGTGAGCCCCGCAAACAGGTTAGTGTCGCATCTGTTAGTAACTCATTCCACCATCACCCCTAGCGCCTGAGAGCCACCATCCCTCGCATGCTTTCCCTTTCTACCAACACTACTGACGTCTGTTATCATCATCAAAAAAGAATTCTCCTACAGTGCGCACGACGACGACAACAACAACAACAACAACAACAACGGGTAAGCCGGCATCCACGACCTCGACATCAGCAACCAGCACATCTTCCAGTGCTGCGACCAGCACCGAGAACCTCGTGACTCGGAGCAAGAGTCTTTTGCCTGTTCGCGATGAGGGACGTGCGACAAGACCTTCTCGTTTACAACAACCGTCTGAACCCCGCGTAGCGCAGAGGACTAGCAAGGCCTCGGATAAGGCTCCGCAATCGCAGCCCGCCCAGGAGAATACCGGTATAACCCGTCGCCAAAGCCTGATCAGACCGAGCCCGCTGAAGCCCTCCGCACCTCTGAAGCCTACATCTGCCTCGTCAAGAAGGCCTACTGTTGCTCCGAGTCCATCATCGCCGGTTAAACAGGAGATACCCTCGAGGCAGAATGGACGGCCTTTATCGCCGAAGAAAACCGAGACACTCTCGAGACAGAATGGTCGGCCTTTGTCCCCGAAGAAAACTGATATGCCTCCGCCCCCGCGACTTGCCCGGTCGGCTTCTCTCAGACAGCCTGCTGCCCCGAGCTCGAGCACACCGACAGTGACTAGAGGTCATGCGCGGCATCGCAGCCAGGGAATCGTGATACCTTCGGGGGGTCAATCTCCGAGGAAAGTTGACCCTCCTTCGCCTTTCCCTACCTCCGCCACTGTACGGTCACGGGCTCAGCTCTCGACTTATCAACAACCGCTCTCCCCAAAGAAGGTGGCTAAGCCAGCGACTGCAACACAAGCGGCAGCTCCGCCCGCCGTGGATGCGGATTCTTCGTTACTTCCCTCGTCTTGGCCGGAGATTGCGGCGCTACAAACAGAGCTATTACAATTGAGTTTGGTTCACTTGTCTTCGTGCAAACAGCACAACGAATGGGAGACTACCGCGGAAGCACGACTACGGAGGGATTATAATTTGGTGGCAGGCGATTATCAAGCGGCCTTGGCCGATGAGAAGCAGTACCAGAGACAGCTCAACGGGCATGCGTTGCAACACTGGCTTGAGAACACGCGTGAGCGCAATGGACAACGAGGCTTTGCAGAGCAGATCCGTATACTTTCTCAGGTGGCAGAGGAGGTCTACAATTTATCCGACAACTTGGACGGCCGGCACACAGTGGCTGTCCAGGAATTCGAAGTCTGGTTCCAAAGAGTCGAGGAGATCCGGACATTCCGTTTTCATCATGGTCGCAACTTGGACCGGGTGGTTTTTATCGATCCTCTGAACCATGGGTGGCGGGACGAGACATCTGCTTTGGTCATGAAGCTTGAACTGTGCCTGAGACAGCTGCAGAGCTTGGACATTCTTGGATATGGAGATCCGGGGCCTTTAGGCGACTCCGCGCTGTTCCGCACAGCAAAGGGTCTGGAGGAAATGGCCAGCATGATGGTTGAGGAGCTGAACACGATCCGTAAGATTGAAAGCGACGTCGTAAAGTCAGAGCGCGAGTGGGTTAGTCAGCTGGCCCGGCAATTGACTGCAAATCAGGCACATGATCAGAAGCGCCCAACAGTTGGAATGTGGAGACGGCCGTCGTTGAACTCATGAACTTTGTGCTGTCTGCTGAAGAATTGCGAAGAATTGCAGTGAAGGTTGAACTGCAAAGTTACTTGTCGCGGTCAACCTGATCCGTTACTGAACCCCATGCTAAACCCTATCTTCCCCAGGGGTATGGCATGCAGTTTGCTGCTTCTGCCGGATCTACTAGCGTAAGCGGATTCGAACCATGGGAGCGATTCGCAGGCACCGTCTGCATAGCCAGGCATGCATGTGTCATCCAAGGGCCCAAAAACCGGTTCTCGCAGAAGTCCAGTTTTCAACGAGAGCGCAAATCATTCGCCAAAATTTTGCGCTAGCCCTTCCTAGCCGGCTTCTGGCCAGCGGCCGGACAACATTCGGGGTGCTTAACAATACTACGGCCGGTTATCGTGGCCTGTTGAGATTCTAGAAGCTCAACCATCCCACCTTAATTCTTGATTTTTTGGGACACGGCCGGGGCAAACCTGTTCTCCCGACCAGCGGCCTGTCGCGCGCTTGTGACGAAAAGGGAGAAAGGGAGGAGGAAAAGAGTGCAATGGCCTGGGTTTAGATCCCCTCATCCGTGTTCGGGGTATCTGTTGTCTTGCATGTTCCATGACAGTCTAAGATGTTCTTTCCCCCTCCAAAAAATCGGTCTGCGCTGTGTGTGAATCTGTGCTACCAATGGCCATGTTTCACCGCGGAAAAGGGTCTACAGCAGCGCAGGCCTCGGCTCGCGACAAGCATGGTTGATTTGACCGCTGGCTACATCAAGCTCTGCTTTGTGTTATTCCGCGGACGCTGTGCACATCCGTGCAGATCGGTTGGGTGAATGTGGAACCCTCCAGTGTCTGGTGATGAGCCCAATGTACTAAGGAGAAGAGTAGGAAACAGGTTCTTCTCGGTCCATTTCCTAGCCGAATTTGTCAGACCTGGGATTGGAGCGCTCCGATGTAGGCTCACCCTTCGCGAATAGACACTGATGAGGTAAATAGTAATGGATCACCTCTTTATTGCTCCCCTGAGAGAATGTGAGGGGTAGATGACGATCGATTCTCCGAGGCGTAAGAGGGAGGACAGGGAGTGTATTGCGTAAAATGCTCTTAACCGGGGAGTAGGAGGATGGGATGACCGGCTTTCTGACACGAGGTTCAGTTTATATACAACTGAATCCTGCCATCCGCCAAACTCCCCATTTTAGCGCGGTCAGTGACTAAGCAACGTGGGGAGAGGTGTCGTCATCGCCGTTGGTCTTTCCGAAGCATCACCAGAACTGGAACGGGATTGATGCTTCTGGATCTTCGAACTTTTTTTTGGAGTGACACCCTCGGGTGGTATTCTACCCTAGTCAACCCGGTCAAGCTTCGTCTAGAGCCAACAGTAGTAACCTCCCCTCCCTCCTTTCTAATCCACCACTCAGTTCAACTGAACAGGCAGACAGGCTCCACTCTCAGCGGTGTAACTGCGTCTGGTCAACGATGCCTATCGCTTCAGCTACACACCTTCGCAGCTGGAGCCCAACAGACTACTGTGGGATCTAATGCACCTCCTGGCGCTGGCCCTCCTCCCCTTGTGCATTGGAGTCACTCTCGACTCGGTTCATCGACGATCGGGGACTCTCCCGAATGGGTAAGACTAGATGTGCTCGGGAATCCTGTGGGAGAATGGAGGAAAGGAACGAGGGTCATTGGATGACTTTTCCTGTAGGATGGAGGAGTAGGTGACAGTTAGTTAGTTAGTTAGTTTTATCTGTAGCAGCAGTAGTAAGTAACTATTTAGTGCTATATAAGTCCAGTCCTGTATCGTCCGGAATTCTTTCCCTCTCTTCCTTCCTCTCCCCAAAATTGGAGACATACTGCATGTGTCCTGCAAAGTACTAGCTCGGGGCTATCTACTTCGTCTGCGTCTTTCATTCTTCTTACTATTATTATTATTATTATTATTATTATTTTTTTTTTTTTTTTTCAATTTTTTCTTTTCGACTCGTAAAGATGAACCAACAGTGATGAGTCCCAAAGTCTATGCAGTGCTTGACGTGGTTGTGACCTGAACTGGTGGTTCTCTTCCTCCCCCCGATAATCTGGGCCCGGTGGAGCTGAGCAGTTGGTGGTTCCTTTTCCCCTCTTGCTTGCTTGTTCTTCCCGCAAGTCTTCTGTCTCTCGTTTTTCTTTATTATTCTCTAAAAACAACTCTCTTTCGTGCCCGCTCTGTCTGTCCTCTTCGATCTGATTTCTTCCGCTTACTCTCCAATTAACGGGAGAAAAGTACGACGAAGTGCCAACGATACTACCCACTGTCAACTTGCATAGACCGTCATCTTCTTTTCCCCAACGAACCCCAGTTACTGCTGGTACGCTACAGCCCACCCCACTTTTATTCTGCCTTTCTTTTCTTTCATGTTTTGCTTTGATGATCACTGCTTGCCACTGTTTTCAGCCCTAGATGTTTTTTCGAGCTAATGGTGTTGATTGATTGCATTGTGTTGAGGGATGCCTTTGACTTGTCAATTCCCGAGGGAATAATAATGTCTGGACCGTTCGCCATCCTCCCGTCACCACCTTAGCCTTTTTTTCTCCTCTCTCTCCTTTTTCGTCTTGCTGTCTTCTCTTCCTCTTGGAATCTCTCACGCTTTTGACACTGACCCTACTAGCCATACCTCTTTCTTTTCCTTTCTTCCCCTCTGGCACTGTGATCTTGCCCCTCTCCTGACTAGCTTATGTCTACCCTTACGCTCGTGAGCTTTGCGACGCGATTTGCGCACGTTTGAGTCTGACGTCATTGAAGGTGTGGCAGCAGCAAACTTCCACTGCGCGCAATGCTTCGATCTCGAGTCGCCTGATCGTCCACCATCTGTCGCCTATTCATCGTCCCAACCATGAAGGAATCGCTTTATGATCGCATCTGGCGCCGGGAATTGGGAGAGGACTCCCGGTTCGCAAGCATTCATGGCATTTATGGATCCAAGGATTGGGTGGAAAACCTGGATATCGTGAACGAACTGGGTGGGCATTCGGGCTGTGTGAATGCCTTGAGGTATGCTAGTATTGCGCCACGTTTTTAATTTAAGTACTTGGAGGAATCCTTGTAGTGGGGGATCCTCTCTGGCAAAATGCATCGCTTCTGACGCTGCGCAGTTGGTCGCGGTCAGGCCAGCTTCTAGCTTCGGGCTCGGACGACCAGCACTTGAACATCTATTCCTACCAACCCGAATCTTCCACCGCGCCGTTCTCCCTGAATACGACCGTCTCTACGGGCCACAGCGCGAACATCTTCTCAGTCAAGTTTATGCCACACTCCAACGATCGAACTCTAGTGACTTGCGCCGGTGATTCCCAGGTTCGCATCTTTGACATCGAATATTCCAGCAATGGCAGCAACAGTGTGGACGCCACTTCTGCCTTTTCTGCATCTGCACGGAGCCGAAGGTTTAACAACTTTTTCAACAATGCGCGCTACCTAAATGCGGGGAATACCAACGTCAGAGTTTATCGCAGCCATGCCGATCGGGTTAAGCGGATCGTTACTGAATCATCGCCATATCTCTTCCTGACTTGCTCGGAAGATGGCGAGGTTCGCCAATGGGACTTGCGTCAACCATCGTCCGCCTACCCAAAGCCACGAGGCGGCCAAGGATATATGGCTTTTCGACCGGGACAGGACCACGACGACTCCAACGTACCGCCTCCGCTGATTTCCTACAAGAAACACCGACTCGACCTCAACACCATCTCGTGCTCCCCGAGCCAACCACATTACATTGCGCTAGGCGGGGCCCACCTTCACTGCTTCCTCCATGACAGGCGCATGCTAGGCCGCGACTTGATGGCGGAGAGGGGTGATCCGGGTGCCTCGCCTGGCAGTAGTAGTCATGGTGAGCAGCTGATGGATCAGGCGACGCGGTGTGTGCGGAGGTTCGCCCCTAACGGTCAGCAACGAATGAAAACGCGCGATGACGGCCATATCACTGCCTGTAAGATTAGCGACGCCAACCCAAATGAGATGGTTGTCAGCTGGTCCGGCGATCACATATATAGTTTCGATTTGATTCGGAGCCCGGATGCAAGGGAGGATGCGTCCAAGCGCCAAACCTCCGCCCGGACGACACCGGTCCCGCGTCGGCGCCGAGGCTCTAAGACTAGGAAGCGTAAGCGACAGAATGGGACCTCGATGTCCTCGCAGTCCAGCGGCCATCAGACTCGACCTCGCCGTCGACCCAGAGAGCGACCCGATGAAGGCGAGCTGGCCTTCCGAGTCCGCTATGGCAATGGCGAGTTGGAGGACATTCCCCTCCCGTCTCTCACCGAACACCACGCCGAGGTCCCCCAAAGGTTGCTGGAGCAGTCGCGGTTGTCTGTCCTTAATGAAGCGCAAAGGCTCAGCATGCACATTGCCAAGGACATGGTCAAGCTCCGTAAAGCAATGTTTTCGCTGGAGACGTCCTTACGCGAAGAATATGAGACCTCCAATCAAGCTGACCTGACACCGTTCACCGAGTCCTTTTCCACTGCACTAACCCTTGCTTCCATCTGTCTCCCACAGATGGATGAGATTATGCGTACCTGGCGATACCCTGTCAATCCTACGCCCGATATTGTGCGCTTCCAGCAAACCTTGCGTCGGAACCGACAGACCTCCTGGCGGTTTATTCAAGCTGCAGGCACATTGGCACGAGTTCTAGGGGGTGAAATTCAAAACACCCCCGGAGATGTAGATCGTGACATGGAGCCTTTCCAACAGATACATTCACCCTCGCTCGAACGCTCGGTCGATCATAAGGAGCAGTTTGGATACGATTTCATCAAGGCTATACTACTCTTTGTAGAAGGTGGTCGCCAGGCTCTTCTGGCAGGTTTCAAGAAAGACGCAGCGTCCCGAGGTAACCTATCCAGATTTCCGGTAGCCGAGAATGCGGATGAAGATGCAATTGAGACCGTCTTGATTCCCTACCTGCAGAGACTGGCGGGGGATGTACCTGTTGTGAATGTGGACGCCTCGCGATTTGAACATGATGACGCTCGTATCCTCTTCCCAACTCAGCGCCACGCCGTGGCCGCCTTTGCCAATGTTGTCAAATACCCCGTTGAAAACCTCGTAGATACGGACCCCAACATGCGCAATGGGACTTCAACGGAGCCCCCTAGTCGTACCCACGACTTGTTCCAGTTAACACAGTACTGGGTTTTCAAGGTGGCCCGTGGTGTCCTTCTGGAGACCGGAACCGGGGTAAATTTTGCGTTTTTTAGCCGGGCTTTTGGTGGCCTGCGTACGAGGGTGGAAAGTGACTCCGAATCCGAAGTGGAACCCGAGAGATCACAAAATGATCTCGAAGCTAATGTCGAGGAAGAGCCCATCCGCGATGTTAATCTGAAAATACTCCGGAGGTCGCATCTTGCTACTCGAGAGAGTTCGGAGGTAGAGACAGGCGAGTCATCAGGGGTGCAGACACCACTGTCCGATGATGACGACGAAGAAGAAATTGCTTTGGAATTACCAGATATCATCGATGATGACAGTGAGAATGAGGTTGGCCTTCCCATAGCGGAAGAGGAGGAGCAGGATGAGGAAGAAGACGAAGATGAAGACGAGGAGGATGATGACGATGAAGAGCTCGATCTAGACCTGAGCAGTTCGGCTGATGACAGTGACGACTCCGAGGCTGCTGATCATATCTTCAGGGAGTATGGCCTCCAGCCCCGAGAAAGGGAATACGTGGACGTTGATGTTCCCTGTTCCTCGCACACCCGAGTCTACATGGGCCATTGCAACATAAAGACCGTGAAGGATGTCAATTACTTTGGACTGGACGACGAATACGTAGTGAGCGGCAGCGACTCTGGCCACATTTTCATCTGGGACCGGAAAACCTGCAAGCTAGTCAACATCCTCGAGGGTGATAGTGAAGTAGTCAATGTTGTGCAAGGTGAGAATATCCCCAACCGTGGGCATTTCATTTGGATATTTGAGGGTCATTTAAGCCAACGGTCCTTTGCAGGTCACCCGTATGAACCCACCATTGCGGCCTCGGGAATCGACAACACCATCAAGGTCTTTTCATCCGATCGACGCGCTCAGGAGGATGCGCGCCGTGGAATCAACATCTTGGATCCTGACAACCCAGCCAACACGCTTGGATTGGGACCGAATGTCAGCACCATTGGTGGTCTAGGCAGTCGCAAGCGCTTGCATGATAGTTATCGCATCATGAGCCAGAACGATGTAGATCGACAAGGTGGGATGAGCGAAGCATACATCACTGTAGGTTTACCTAGATTCAGCTTTTCCGCTGCGATACAGAGCTTTGGGCTTGTGTTAACGAACAAAACAGAGGCACATGCTGGCCCGCCTGGCGGCAACCCTGCGAGACCAACGGCATGGTGTAACGGTGGGCGAAGGAGGCGAACATGCTACGCTTGTTCTGGATGATAACAGCTGCAATGTATGTGCAATATGGATTCAAATCATCTCTAAAAGCTCCCATCCCCGCCAAGCTAACTCATTGGATTCAGGTGATGTGATCTAACCTTTTGACCGGACTAATGGGGAGATGTCTTGGGCGGCCTATTACCCGGACTGCACCCGTTGACAGGATTCGTATTTTCTTCTCTTCCTCTAACCTCTAGCTTTACCTTCGTCGATGTTATTAATATTAGATTCTAGCCCCCGCGTCATCACTTTTGTGTCTGTTTCGCGGTCGCTTCCCAGCAGTTCTGGTCACACCCGTGCATCTCGGTTTTGGAGCCATGGGCAGGCGTTTCCTGAAGGCAAAAGCAAAGCAGTTGAATGAAATTATCGGATATTCTTATTCTTACCAAGTGTGTAGCAGCAGAGCAGCGTAGCCGGTTATCTCAATCCACGATCGTCTTCCTGACTAGGGCTTCCAATCTCTAGGAATTATAGTTTATCACCACGTGACCCTTATCAATTCCCCCGCATTTGTCCCTCCAATTTTTGGCTTTTTTCACTTTGCCTTCCCTCTTCCCATTTTGCGCCTCGAATTCTCAGCCTCCACCTCGATTGCTGCTCGCAATTGAAAATGCAGACCCTACAGGACCGAGCGGACATCACCGCTCGTCTCTATGCTGACCCCCACAATCCGCACCTTTACTACAAACGGGGCCTTGTCCACCAAACCCTGGGCTTTCCCGATCTCGCATCCGCCGACGCATACCGCGCCCTCTCCCTGCTCGACTCGGTCGTCGATCCCGATGGCTGCGAGTTTCACGCCACACGGCGGATTCAGGATGCACCAGATACTCCCGCAACAACTGAGGAGGAGGGGGACGACGACGAGGATGACAATTTCACTCCCATCACACAAGATGAGTACGACGCCATAATCGGAGACGTCTACGCCCTTCTTGTGCGTAACTTGGTCGACTGCGGCTGTTTCCGCGATGCCTTTGAGTTCTGCGTGCGTGGACAAGGACTCCTGGAGGACATGCCGCAGAACGAGCGCAATACCTCTGCGCAAGCTGTGCTCAAGGACCAGCTGGCCATCATCCGGAAGAACTACGAAGCCCGTCAAGGAACCACCACCGGAGACGCCAATATCAACCCTAGTGCTCTGAACGCCCAAGGCTTCGCCCGCCGAGTCCTATACCCCTGGAACGAGCACGAACCGGACCGCAAGTCCCCCGAGACTTTGCAGCTCCTAAACGAGCGCCTCAAGGACGTTGCGCCTAAGTGCGAAGTCCGCGCCGTCGCCTTGCCCGCTTTACACGGCACCACCACCGCTGAAGACGAAGTCTCCGTCCAACTCGGCCTCTTCGCCAAAGAAGACATCGCCCCCAACGAGATAATCCTCCGCGAATCCTCCCTCCTCACCGCTACCAACCGCCTGCACGACGACCTCTGCGACGCCTGCAACGCCCCTCTCCCTGAGCTCTCCTCTCCCAACCCCCCCGTCGCCTGCGACGGCTGCGCAGATACCATCTTCTGCTCGCAGGCCTGCCACGACGACGCACAGCGCATCTACCACGGCGCCGTCTGCGGCCTCATGGAGAACCTCGAATCCATCGGAAAAGACATCCCCGACCCCAAGGACAAGGCCGATTACCTCTATCTCCTTCTTCTGGGCCGCACGCTCGCCATGGCCGCTACCCAGGAGCTGCACCCGCTCGATCTCCCTGAAGTGAAATACATCTGGGGCGATTTCCACGACCTCGACCTTAACACCAATGAAAGCAGCAATGACAATGATGACCCAACAGCAACCCTCCCCTTTTCCTTCCAGCTCAATATCCTCCAACCAATGCGTTTCCTAGAAGAAATGGAAATAGACCCCTACGTTGCCCTCCCCCGCTTCGACACCTGGGTCTTGAATACCCTGTACGCTAAGTTCCGGGGCACTGCGTCGGGCCGGCTCTCGACGTGGGACGGTGGCCCGGAGCTCTGTGCTGTGCATCCGCTTTGGTGTCTGGCGAATCATTCTTGTGATCCGAATGTCAGGTGGGAGTGGGGCGGGGAGATTACGTTCCGGGCTAGGGAGGAGAGTGAACGGGCGGTTTGGAAGAGGGTTAAGGGTGCTGGTGGTGGGGATGAGGTTCCTGGGGGAAGAAGGAGACAGGAGGCGGGGATAAAGAAGGATGAGGAGATTCTCAATCATTATTGTGATATTGGTTTGGATGTCAAGGAGAGGAGGGAATGGGCGAGGGGCGCGTTGGGAGGTTGGTGTTTGTGTGAGAGGTGTGTTTGGGAGGCGGGGGAGAAGTGATTGTTCGGTGTTAGTTTGAGGAGTGTGGTTGGGTTGTGGATAGAGGACTTTGGGGTTGGTGGTTTTGGGAGTTGGAGATGAAAGTAGAGATAGATTTCTATTAGATATAGTGGTGGATGATGATGATGATGACGTTGAATAGATAGAGATACCCAGGTTGATAGAAAAGAGAGAGATGATGTGGATGCTATTATGTCTCTATTGAAACCGGAGGTTTCGCAACCAGTACACTACTATCTTCCACTACTAACTACTCAGTATTAGTACTGAAATAGTCTCCCAATATGTCAGTGTATAATAACAGTAGTAGTTGTAAACCCATGTCTCTCCATCTTATACAACTACATCGGTCACAGCAGTACTAAGTACGTATGTCAACCACTGCAGTAATCTGTTCACTACTGCTACTTAGTCCATATGATAACACTTATTTCTCTTACTTGTTATACTGATGATATACTTTCGTGTCCGTTTGCAATACATCCAGGCGAAATGAGTATTTATCAATACATCCTTAATTTAATATAAAATAAAGAACCCTTCCTTGAACTTGGAAATCTTGGTTTCAATCCGGTATAGAACAACCAATGCCAAACCTAAACATATACCCTGCAGAAAATTCCATCTAAAAGCACTCTTCTCTCTCCCTATAACCTATTACGTACACCCTATTCCTACCCTAATCGCGCACCCGACGGGGAGGCGTTCTAGACGGAGACCTGTGCCGTCTCGGCGGCGGAGACCGCGACGGAGACAACGAGTCAGAGTAGCGACGACGACGAGGGGCAGCATCGCCACGACGACCACCACCGCGCGGCGGGGTAGGGGAGCGCGAGCGCGAGACTGAAGCATCACGGGGGGCACGACGACCAGGCGGGGCACGACGCTCCGGAGTACGAGAACGAGAACGGGAAGGAGAGCGAGACGCGGAGACGCTCCTTTCGACCCGCCGGCGGGGAGGAGGAGACTTCGAGTACCGAGCGGCACCTCCGGCAGCCTGACGTGGAGGAGGGGAGACAGATCGGGAGACGGATCTGGAGTAGCTTCTGTCTCGGCGGGCGTGGGTATCTCGCTTGCTGCGAGGCGGAGGGGTGACGGACCGGGAGAGCGAGCGTCTGGGAGAGCGGGAATCGTAGGAGCGATCGCGTGTCCGGCGAGGAGGGGGTGTTGGGGACACGGAGGATCTTCTGCGGGGGGATCGACTGTATGAGACGGAGCGTCGGCGGGATTTGGGCGCCGGGGATCGGGACCTGGACCGCGAAGGGGTGTAGCTGTAGCTGCGGCGTGAGGATCCGGACACGGAGCGGCTGTAGGATCGGCCGCGGCTGACGGAGCGTCTGCGGCCACGGCCGGGGGAGGGAGAGCGAGAGTAGGAGTAGGAGCGGGAGCGGGAGCGAGAGCGAGGAGTACAGGTTGAGCAGCTGGTTGGGTGAGATACCACGGACTCCGAGTCGGAGTCGGCGCCGGCATCGCGTTGGGGCAATGCGGGCATGGTGGGCTTGGGGAGGTTTTTTAGGTGCTCGCGCATGTCCTCCGTCAGCATACCCATGCCAATACTGGTGAAGTAGTTGATTGAGAAGCGCGTGTTGCGGGGGTTGTCCAGTGGGAAGAGGCCCTCGAAGCTGGGACGCAGGATCTCGTCCCGCATGCGTTCCTGCAGTTTGGGCAGGCCCAGGTGTTCTCCGAGGTCTTGGAAGAGGATCTTGATGAAGATACGGCTGCTAGATGTCGTCTCCTCCTCGTTCATGTGGATGATCGACATGACGTGCCAGCCAATCGCGTCATTGCTAATCATATGGCCGAAGAAGCGGGCAATGTTGCGGAGTCGGTTTGTCTCGTAGCGATGGATGGTGTCGTAGTACTTGGCAAATGCAGCTTCGAAGAGGTCGGACCAGAGCCGGTTGATCTTTGCGAAGCGCTCTCCGATCAAGCCGTAGAACTTCGAATACGTGCGCTCCTGGGAGCAACACTCGATGATCATTGACGGGAGCTCGGGCTCGAGGCCAGCGGGCAGCGAGATCTTCATCAGCTTGTGACAGCATTCTTCGAAATCGATACTCGACATGATCGTCAGGTATATCGTCCTCCGCAGGTTCACGAGGTCTGTGTTGGTCTGGTCTTTAATGTCCATCTTCCGCTCTTCCTCCGACTCTTCATCGGAGCTTTCGTCTGACTCGTCTTCGTCGTCCTCCTCGTCATCACTTCCTTCACCCAGAATCTCTGCCTTCAATTTCTTGTAGGCCTCTTCGTGCTCCTCCCATTCGGCATCGTACTTGAAGATATTGAGGGAATCTTGTGTCTCAATCTCGTCATCGAGTCCGATCTGATGCGTTATTTGGTCTTCCTCCTCGATCAGGTCCAATTCTTCCTTGATCGCCGGGTTGTCCTTATACCTATCTTTCCGGACCTGGAACAACACCTCAATCATATACTGTACTCGCTTGTCGATGTCGGCTTCGTGAAGGATATTTCGGAATTGATCAAACACCGCCAGGGCAATAGGACCGCTCATCTCCTCCAGATGCTGACCAACCTCTCGAGTCAGGCCGACAGCAATCTCGACACTGTCATCCGTAGGCTTGTGAAGCAGCAAAAGAAGAATCTGCGCGGCCAGCATCTCGTGCGCGACCTGCTGGTTGCACAGATGGGCAATGAAGGTCGTGGAAGATATGCAGACTGCCTTGTCGTTTCTCTTGAAAGCCTTTCGGAACTGGACAATGAGACGGTTGAGCAACAGCTCGCCGACTTGGGGCAGCTTTGTGTTCACAATAGCCGCCATCGCGGCGTAGATAGGTGTGAAGGGCAAACTGGCCGCCTGAGCTTTCATGATACTTCTGCAAAACAGACCGCGACCGCGCACCAAGTTCTCCCCAAAAAGCTCCGGGACGATAAACTTGATGTTGGAAACGTTGACCTTGTTGATGAGACCGTTGATCGACTTCTTGAGAGCCTCCCATGCCATCCGCTGGTACTCCTTGCTGGTCTTATCCGTAATCTGCGCCTGCAGCGCCCGTAGTCGCGCAGGAGGAATATAGGTACCACCCGATCGCATGTTCAAAAGCTTCTCATATTCTGCTTTAGCCGCAGCCTGCTTTTCCTCCTCCGTCATTGGCTTTCGAGCAGCCTCCTGCTTCTCATGTTGGCGAAGGCGCTCGGCGAGCTCTCGCTCTCTTTCAATCGCGCGTTCAGGATCGATGCGCGGTGCATCCGCACCGTCTTTTAGTGAATCACCCGGGGGCGAGCGACGACGATTCGGCGAAGGAGACCGAGAGGGAGGTGAGCGTTTGCGGGAACCCGAGGCCTGAGGAGAGTAGGAAGTGCCTGGGGGCGGAGTAGGCACTCGCACCGCCGACTGCAAGACAACAGGGTCAGTCATGTTCCTTTGCAGTCCACCGAGGAAAGAATGAGCTGTCAGTCGTGATGTCCGCAGAGAACACGACGTTGACCTGGAGCTCCATCGGGATGAGGCGTGAGGCGGCGAAGAAAGGTCTTAGCGCGTCGCCGGTCACGTGAGAGATTAGTCGCCAGGCTGGCGCCGGCCGCTCTCTACTATCGCCATGGGATGAGGAAGTGCCAAACAGACCAGCCGCCATCGTCGCAGCAATTGTCACGCACAACTCTCCTGATAGCGCATCATCATTATGGTATTACTACTCGCGTCCTACCCTACAGCATTTGGAAACGTTTGAAAACGCTGACTTGAATTGCGCCGTAGCTGGGCCCTATCGTCGGATCCGCCATGCTCCTGGTCGCTACTGCGATCTTTCTTTACTACACCACCTGGACTCTGTTGATGGTATGTCTTCGCACCTGGGTATAATTGCTTTTCTACGACAACTGTTAATCACTCTGCTAGCCCTTCGTCGATCCGGGTCACCCTCTCCATGATCTCTTCCCTCCCCGTGTCTGGGCCATTCGCATCCCCGTCTTCCTTACTCTGCTTGGTTCCGCCGTGGTTGGCACGTTCATAGGGATTGTGATGATCAACAGCAACAAGAAGAAGGCAGCTAAGGCTAAGGCCGCGGCCAAGAAGAAGACCTAAGCTTCCCAACAAAAAGAAAACCGACGTGGCGTTTGGAGGATGAGTTGGGTGGTGAACATAGCGACTCGAAACAGGTGGCATCATCTTATTCTGCATGTAACATTAGTTTTTTCTGTCCTTGTTCTTTTCAAGCTTTCCCCTTGATTGGGTTGTTCTGTCATCGCAGCGTTCAATTACACCATCCGCATTCCTCGCATTCTGCAAGCGTGCCGCGTGGTGAGGTAGGAAGGGGGAGGCGACGGCAAGTGACGAGCGTAGCTCCGGATGCTGCCCGGTCACTGGGTGAAGCGTTCCTGGTTTCTCTTGAGCCTTACCCAGGGCAACAGGATACATTGCTTAGCCGAGTCTATGCGTTCCCTTCCAAATGGCCATAGCCACCATGTAATCTTTCAGTCATGGGCAGGTCCCAACCGATGACGATTGAGGGGGACCTTACAGACGATGGCAGTGCTCTTTCGCCATGCAGCCCCGTGACTCACTCCCGGCAACCAGCCACATCTGGCATCGGTTCTACCGCATTCCGGGCCTGGAACTATGTGATTGGTCTGAGAACTATTGGCGGCTAGACCGTTGGGGAGGGGACCCATCCAGGGAAACGGCCACCCATGAATAGAAGGTCCGGCCCAACTTGCTCCGGGTTTCAGTTCCAGCTGGCCCTGGGACAACATGTTCTGTTTCGTTCCGGTGGTGGTGGTGGTGGTGGCTGGCTGTCTGGCTGCCGTGCCCAGGGCCTTCACGTGACGAGACTGAGCCGTGTTTTGGACGCCAGAAGTTTGCAGTGTTTGATGGAAAGGGTACCCCTCATGCGGGCAGTTCAGGACCAATGGGGAAAGGCGCCCATGGCGTGTGTAAGAATCGTGGGTTCTCCGCCTTACGGGGTAATAGCCAATACGGTACGGTAAGTGCAGATCATCGGATGCCTCCTAATTCCAGGTCCCAACCCACCTGCCTGGATGGGTGGACGTGGGAGTTGGACGTGGGAGAAGAGACACGGTAAAGAGGGGAAGGATCCATCCCATCTGCAATCTAATTACTAGAGACCATGTATCATGTAGGAACCTTACCCGACTGCGTCATGTTATGACGGTCATGCCTGGCCGCATCCCCCACTAGTAGCCAATGATCACTGGAGCCCCGTCATGTGGTGGCCCTGGAACCTTATGGGAAGGAACGACGGGGGGTGGGAAAACTACTAGGGGAAACTACCATGGACTTTTGGGGGGGAAAAGTGACTGATAGGAGATAAGTCCGGCGTCGTAGTCAGCCTACCCATGGAGATGTCATCCATGCTCCTGACCTGATCCGGTTCCCTCCCCCTCCCTCTTTCTCTTCTCTCTTCTTCCCTTTGCTATTCTGTCGCCAGAACAACTTCTACTTTACTTCAACCACTTCCCGGTTGTCTGTTACCTCAAATCTAGACGCGTCTGTTGATCCGTCACTGTATCTATCTGCCCCGACTACTATAAGTGGTCAACAACCTAGACAGGCGGTATAAGCAGTGCTTCCGACCTGTCGTGTTTACACACCCACCCTCCGGCGTGTCCACGGATCTCCGCTCCAGATACGCTGTTCTCTCCGTTCATCCGGCACGGCCGTTGTAACTAAACCTCTTGCTACGTCTGTTTCTCGACATTAGTAGCACTGGAACCAACTGTAACTCCCCCTCCTGGAGCATCAGTTACCCGCTATTTTGAGACTTCTGCTGATAAGCGTTGCTGGTCGATAGAACACAACTCCACGGGATTCCTCCGGCAGTGAATCCATACTACCCTTGCGAGTGTCGTTGCCGGTCGACCACACCGTCAGAACCTCCGTTCTCAGCCCGGTCCAAGGGTTCTGAGAGCGGCTGCCCCAACTGAGTCCATATTGCCTCTGAGAGGCAATCCCTTTGAATGCCACCGGCAGCTTCGGACGATTTGTTTCGCCAGCAGAGCCGGTCCTTAGGTGACACCAGCCCCTTTCCAGAAGATCCCAGTCGAGCCACTTTGGAGCATGATCTCGGTGGAAAGACCAAGAAAAAGGGGAAAACCGGAACCAAGGGGAAGAATAAAGCAGCCAAAGCAATCCCGAAGTCTACACCTGACGACCTGTAAGTCTGAGTCTCTCCACGTGTCTAGAAGGATCTTGAATCTAGGCGGACAGCTGGCTGACTTGAGTTCACGCGTCGTATGCAGTCTAGAAGCAGAAGCACCGTCACCGTCACCGCCTCTACAGGCTGAACCATCGTCCTGCCCCAATCCAACACTGGAGCCGCCACCTAGCAACAATATCGTGTCACCGGTACTTGATGCCCTTGGCACTCTGGGGGACTCTCCGGAGAATGACATTGCTTACCGCACCGGTACTTGGGCCAAGTCCATCCCGTATGGCAAAAGTCCTCCGAATGATGCCGTTGATGGCGAGTTCAACAGTGGGTCTCCCTTCGGCTTCCTCACCAGTCAAGACAAAGGCGGATTCAGCCACCCCTCTTCGACGTCTCCCCCTCCGGGAGCAAGGCCCTTGAGCTATGGGCGGGGTTACGCAACCAGCAGTGTGTCTAGACAGCACTCCGTGGACCGACAAAAGAGCAACTCCGTCAGTAGCCCATTTAACAACCAGGCACCCCTACCGCATCTGCCGCAGGCCCATTTCTATGGCGCGCCAGATATCGATTTGCCTCTGTTCTCTGGCCAGAATAGGGCCGCAACCGACGGTAGTTATTCATTCTGTGCGTTCGATACGATCATAAGCCCGTCATCCAAAGCCTCCAGGATGGGAAGTAGCGTTCTCCTGGTCGGCACGGATGGCGGCTTGGATATTCTTGCCATTGAAGATCGAAAAACGCGCCCTGTAGGGAAGTTGGCAGGTCTCAATGGCCGCGTAATTGAAGCGAAGTTGCTGAGCAACACTTCAACTAATGACACATCTATACATTCCCGACCTCATGTCGCTGTCATCATTCACGGCCCCGCTGCTCAACCAGATGATGAGGGCCATGCATCCTCCAATAGCTCGGAAGCAAATGATATTCCCACTGGAAGACAGTCGGCCGCTGGAGGGCGTCCGAAAGAAGAGACCAGGTTTTACCAGACACGGGTCGAGGTGTATTCTTTAAGGACCGGCGAGCACATCACAACGCTTCTGTCCACGCCGCCCACTCCCTGCTTTGGCAATATACCTGGTCTTCCTGCCCTGGCTCCTTCACCGGCCGGGAATCTCAAGCTCTTTGTGAGCGGAAGCTACGTTGTCGTAGCATCCGGTTCCAGTGGGGAAGTCTACATGTACAGCATGAGCAATTATCAGTTTCTAGGAAAGGCATGGACCAGTATCAAGTCAAAGGAATCTCGGCGATACTCCACGTCCTCCAGCTCGACTGACCCAGATGGATCTCAATCCGAATCTCCTCATGGATCTCTCAACTCTGATAGTCCTATCGTGGCATTGAAGGGAAGATGGCTAGCAATTGTCCCACCATCCGCAACTTACAGGGCTACTCTCCGTGCTGCCGTGCCGACGTCCTTGTTGCAAGGGAAGGCGTTCGGGCTTGAGACTCGAAGTCCCCCGTCGCGTCCGGCTATCACCTGCGCTACTGATGTCGGAGAGGGCGAAAGCTTTTTCGGCAAGGTAGCCCGGGGCGTTACCCAGGAGCTCATGCGAGGTGCACGGTGGATGGGTGACCAAGGACTACAAGCCTGGAACAATTACTGGAATAAGGAGCAAGCTCAAAGCATGCCAGCACGCCGCTCTCCTAATTTGACGGAGTTTTCACCTCAGGGGTACAATCTCTTCCCTCCCACCCATGCCCAGGACACCCAGTCTGTGTCCACTACCGAACCTGATTTGGTATCAATCTTCGATCTGCGAAAGCTAGAGGAGGGCGAGGCCAAGAGTTCTTTGTTCAATCCAGTGGCCACTTTTCAGGTGCCGAATGGCTGCAGCTTCCTTTCATTTTCTCCCAACGGTCTCATGTTATTTACTGCCAGTAAAAAGGGAGATGTCCAGTATGTTTGGGATGTTATGCAGGCCAAATACTGTCGAGCCGGGGCTTTCATGTCAGACGATCCAGCATCTGTGCAGCCGAGCGTGCGGCAGATTGCCCGGTACCCGCGATTAACCACGTCCCATATAGTTGACGTGGTCTGGTGTCCGCCGTCTGGGGACAAGCTCGCAGTGATTACGGGTAAACCGACGGTGCATGTCTTTGACTTGCCTCGGAGCGCCTTTCAATGGCCTCCTTTTCGACGATCTCTACCAAAACCTGCGAAACCGCCTACTGCTGATGCTCCGGCAGAAGAGCTTCCCGACCGGGGGCCGGCTGCGAATCCATTGTCGGCAGCCTTCAAGATGGTCGGCGGTAAGACGCAGCCCATTCTTGCCGCAGTCAGGGGGCGTACTCCCTCCACCGGGGCCGCTTTCCCCTCCGTGGGTGGCTTTGCAATGCCTTCTGCAGCTGGAGTAAGAGGGGGCAAGGCGGTTGCTGCTGGCCTTAGTAAATCAATGGGGGCCGCCGCCACCGGCACTGTCAAAACGGTCAACACCATCCGACATGGTGGTGAACATCGCCTGCACCTATCCAATCTTTCTCGGGACCCCGTTGCGGCTCGTGTGACATGGATCATCCATAAAGGAATGCCATTCTTGGGCCTGATAGATGGGGGTTACTTCCGCCTGTACAGGATTAAACGCTCCACCTCACCCAGTAAGAGTAGGCAGGTGCAATCGGTGATCGGAAACAAAGAACTTGAGTTCCGCTTGCCTCCCCATATGCAGACACCTTGCGGTCCCATGACCGTGGGTCCCGCCGCCACCACAGAAACAACGGTCTCTGCAACATTGGCTCTGCCTTCCGCGGCGCTACGACCGCCGCCAGCGTCGAAGCTCAAATGTCAGCCTCTTTCGCAGGCGGAGATCGAGACAAACACACCATATCAGCCTTTCCACACCGACCAGAGGGTAAACCTCTTTGTGTACAGTGAGGCCGACGACTCCGTGGGTTCAGTCCCGACGGGTCAATGGACCTTCGGCGGCTCTCTAGCCACTACGAAGCTTCACGTACGACCGTTCAGCGCCTCCAGCGAAGAAGACGATGACATGGTACATGAACAACACCACGGGTTTGGAGCTGAAATGGAGAATCTAATCAGCCTGGGAAATAGTACGGGCAATGTGGAAGAAGTGGTCATTACTACACGCAGGAAGAAGAAGCAGGCTTCGGCCATGGCCCCGGGTGGCGGGGTCGATGACGGCTTCTTTGAAGATGACTGCGAGGTCTTGGACTTCGCTCGGGACCGAGTCTAATCGCGATAACCACAATTACCATGCCGCTGGCGGGGCTCTATAAGATTTAAACTAATATATGTCACATTCTAGACTTACACTGGTATGGCGTTGGTGTGATTGGGATTTAGGCTCGCTCATTTCCGCTCTTGCTTTGGTTGTCACTCCATACGAACTTCATTCTGGTATGCATTATTGCTTTGCATGATTTATGGTTTGACGCAATATGTCCGAATGTCTCATGCCAGGGATTCTCAACCCGCACAGACACAGGCGAAGATCCATCAAGTTGTTCTGCACGTCAGGGGTCAATGACATCGGAAACTCTCTCTTTTACTGCAAAGAGGCAGTTCGACATTTTGTGAATGCACTCGCTACCGTTTGTCCCTACACCCGCATCAAGGCGGACGATGTTGTACTTGCATGAGCTCAATCGCTTGGCGGGATCACGGGTTGATGCCAACTTTGTGTCCGCTGGGTACATGTCGGACATGCACTCATTCGTTCTCTTTCTGCCTGCACCGCTGTATTTCCATGCATATTTCCGTGGTCATTCGATGTTACAATTGATGTTACATACCCAATGCTGTCCTGTGAGCCAGATAGATGAAACCATGTGGGCGTTAACAGTAAAGTACATACATATATAGGTAAAATAGACATGTGCTTGAGTATTATACAATGGGAACGTCGTACATGGACGAGAAGAAGTCATCAATAAATTCGCTACTAACCGATGTCTTTCGAAGAAACCTATAATTGATTCCGTTTCCCCCTGCTCATACCCCATCATGCCAGACAAAAAGGCCTATCAAATACAGTACCATACCGTATACACATGATGATGATATAAACAAAACAAAATACAAGTATGGATCTGCAGTGCACGATGATCACCCAACAGTTTACCGTGCCCGAGCCCGAGACCCACCGAGGGGTCACGATGAATATCAGTGGGTATGCGGGGTTGAGTACACACCATATGTCAAGAGTGCCACGATAGTCCTAATACCAGATATACAATAGTTGAAATCATAGGCTCAGTTATCTTGCCTTACATGTAGCTACCTAGAGCGGCCATTTGGGATTGTTGTGGACTGGGAAATTATAGTACATGGTGGTGGTTCAATCTAAGTGGGTTCTTTCGAGGTGGATTAATGCCATGTAAGTGAAAAAAAACATACCACTGAAATATATGAGTGCTAGTATAGAAAATCAGTCTGGTATGATAGGTGGAAAAGGACGAGTGATCAATCAATAGAATTTAGTTGGTCGGTATACTAATCTTCGGAGTATCAAGTGAAAGCCATGCAAATAGTAGCAATCAAGTTAGTTATTAACCCCATGAGTAAGATAAGATAAACAGGTAATAGTAGTTGTGACAAGTTCCCATATTAGCTAAATTCCCGTAATCAATCAATCAATCATATTAACACAAGCGCTGGATTTAGTGTGCAGTAGACAGGTAGCTTTCTCCCCTTCCCCCCCTTCATACTGTAGTCATCGATCAAGACCTGGCATTTAGCTCATTTACAGAGCCCAAGCAGCCAGGACGAATCCAAGTACTCCAGCAGCGGAAACGCCCAACTTGAGCTGCGCAACAGCAGCGGCGTTCTCGGTGCTGCTGGCATGAGCGCCAGTTGCGGTGCTAGTTCCGGAGGAGCCAGACTTGGAGTTAGAGTCTGTTGTTAAAGGTGGGGTTAGTCATAGAGCACGGGCAATATAAGAGGAGGTAGAAGTGGACGTACTGGAGCCGGTCGACGAAGAGGAGCTTCCACTCTTCGTGGTGCTGGCGTCGTTGGAGCCGGCAGTGGTAGCGGAAGAGCCCGACGCTCCCGTGGCACTGGCGGGGAAGAAGTAGCTGCTGTAGCAGCTGCTCTGGCAACTGGCGTAGGAGCGCTGGTCGCTGGGGGAGCCGGAGCCCTGGGGGCAGGCGGCAACGCAGCTGGTGGTGTCGTTGGCCATGGCGTTGTCGGGGCAAGGAACGCTGTAGCAGTTGGCGATGCAGCAGATGTCCGTCTCAGCGCCTGGAAATTGTTAGTCAATTTGCTTATGGTCGAATTGTTTGTTGTGGCGGGTGAATGGAGTGTAGAAGACACAGGTGGTTGGGGCATGCGGACGGAATCGAGGAGGAGAGCTCAGGATGCCGAACTGATATAGGCAGTAACAGCAACAGAGTAGAAAGAAACTTACACTTGGTGGCGCAGGAAGCCTGAGGAGACAAGCTAGCAGTGGTCGTCGCGGCACTGGTAGTGGAGGAAGAGTCCTGGGCGACGGCGAGAGCCAGGAGGGAGGAGAGAGCGATAGCGCTGTTGAACTTCATCTTGACGAATGGATCGAGGAAACGACAGACGTTAGATTGACTGAAGTGTAGAAGCAAGTAGCGAAACGAGCGCGACAGACAGAGTAGCACGAAACGAAGGACTGTGAGGGAGGAGAGGAAGAAAGAAAAGGAAGAGGGGGAAGGCAGACGAGGTGAAAGGGAAAAAGACGGGCTGTAAATAACGGGCCAAGGATGCGAGGCGAACAATGGACCGGGAGAAAGTTGCCCAAGCGTATCAGGCGATATGCTGGGATTCACCGCGCCTGGCACCAAATTAGGGTCATCCAGCTGTCGGTTCGCCAGTTGCGATTAGCGGGGTTTCAGCAGGCCGTCACAGTCGCACAGGCTAGTGCTGGATTCCTCAAGAAGCGTCTGGATAAGTGGATTCACTGGGCCGGAGCTAGTCCACACCCTTACATTTGGTGGCAATTCAATAACATCGGAAAGAGGTATCTAGTCTACAGGGTGGATGTGGAGGCGCCATTCGTGGAGTCGGACTTGGGAATTTTTTTTAGTTTGGAGCAGGTGCCTACGAGATGGGGAGGGGGAAAGAGAACAGCGCGAAGCACAGTCCAGGTTTCGGACCCAGTCCTTCAATTTGGTGGTCGAGGACCAGCCGAAGTGGTGAAGAGTGAGCAGCCAGTCAACAAACACAGACCCTGAAAATCTGGGGACTGCAAAGGATCGGCTAAAAATAACCCTAGACAAGAGAGGCAGTCCCAAGGGTCATTTCAAGGCACTACTTGCACTACTCCAACGCTAAGCAGGTTGCTGCTAAGCTAGTAAGAGCTAGACGGTCTCCCACTAATTCCACATTAGTCCGTCACTGTCCACCATCCGGTCTTATCAGTGGATGGGGTTGAGACAGCGCATCCGAATAGGTGGAGAGCACACATTCATTGGTGGGCTGATCTGTCAGAAAGTGTCATGCGAACACACTGGAATGCACTAGATATCAGGTAAAGAGGTGGTTGGACTTGGGCAAGTCGTGTAGGCACCACGGTCAAGAATAGGGGCCGGACTTTGGAAAGGGATTCTGTCAGATTCATCGACAGTGGAATTGCTTCTTCAGGCATAGTGTACCTCGGGCAGATCCGACAGGCCTTGTCCAAGGCGAATCATTCTTTATCCGCTCAATAATAATTACTTTCTACAGAGTACAACCACAAAAGATTGGGATGGAAAGAATCCGGAGTACTTCCATCCATTCATTCATCCATCCTGACCATCACGTGGCCATCCTCAACATTCTTGGACTGTTTCGACGCCCAATTATTGACAACCTGGAAACCTTGTCCGAGTCGGAGCTTCCCATCACTGTCATCCCAATTCAATTGATCGACTAATGGGCCTTATTCTAACAGCGGCTATTATACTGGCGCTATTCCTTTAGAAAGCGCTGCCCCTTTTATACAAAAGCAAACATTTAGCTACACTTATCGACGCCCTCTGAAGAGCCCGAACTTTGAGACCAAGTCCGGTTGAAGCTACTGAATCGATTGGCTTGTTGACTCACTATACTTCCAAATATCGCTAATAGTTCGATTTTAGACGACGGATACCAGTCACATATATCGATGCAAACTCACAGCTAATGACGGGTCCTGCTACGGAGGATCGAAGGGGAGCGACCTAGGGGCATTACACTTACACTCTGCTACTGGCTTCGGCATCAATAGAGTTTGATTGGTGTTTGAGATCGCAGGCAAAAGGTCAATAGCTCTTACAAATTGAAGCAGCACTATTTTACCTCAAAGCAACTAACTCAAATAGTCAGACATAATTCTTTCCTCGCGGGAGGGATTGGGATGACAGTACCGAGTATGGAAGCTGAAGATCTCATAGATACTTGGTCATAGTCAACACAACCACTGAGGTACCGCTAGCTAGAACAGTTTTGCAGAAATATTGGAGTAGAATATGCCTTAGTTAACTAAGACTTAACAAAATTATTCGGAGAGCTCCCTCGCCGGTATTCTGCCACGTGCTTTGGAGGCCTTCCAGTAAGCATCTTGTAACCAATATCCCTGTAATAACTCCATCTTCAAGCCTCCCACATCCTACTAAGAGTACCTGGGGCCAACTACTTAAGTGTGTCGAAGGCCAAGACAATCCCGGCCGGTTTGAAACTCGTAAGGTTTTACTTCAAGCGTTCCTTGGTCGATCATGAGCCTGCTGTACTCCGTATATGCAGCGTGCCTGTTTGACAGGGTGAGTGCAGGATGCAGGTTCTGAAGACCTACTGAGCACTAAATCTTTTCCCCTACTCTCTAGTAGTTGTGTATACGGGGTGCATATCTGCCCCTATTTACTACTCTGATTCCTTGAAGCTATAATTGTCGGTGTTCCTTTGTCATATCGCCCAAGCAACCGCAGGAGTGTGATATTGATTAGAGTTCCTTTCAACAAATAAAAGTTGAGGTTAGACACCAGCTCATCTTTGTCTCTTCTATACTCTCTTTTGGAACTTTCAGCTGGAGATCAACTTGTGCTATGTCGCCACAGCGCGATAACTAATTATCAGAGGTCAACTAGTGAGACTTGTCCATCTATATAGCTTATTATCGCGTCTCAGACATTATATATCCAGTAGAATGAGGCTCGCTTTTGATTTAAACTCTTCCAATCGTCTCCGTATTGTTGTGTAGATTCTTTGTGGGCCAATGTGTGAACTGATTTTGTCCAGATCTAGATCACTTTATCAAGGCGGCCGGACCGCTTATTCAAACCTTACGTAAGCCTTGTTATCGATAAGGACATGTGATTGCTCTCAACGCGTCGCGTCCAGGCATCTTCGACGGTAGTCGGGGTTTTATCCTACGAAGCACCTCGGGTTCGCTATGTTCACCCTTGATGGTGACTCCTCTGACTATTTCGATGATGATCTGGGCGACTTGGGCGTCGACCGGCCTTCGGATTCGACTGACCCTGACACTCCCCCACCAGCCAAGCGCCGTCGTCTAAGAGCCGGTAAAGATGCGTCAAACGCAGACCTGCAATCGCATCAGAAGCCACGTGCAGAGCGTGGTGATGGTGCTAGGACAGCGCTAAGCTCGGACTCGTTTATCGACTATGATGATGACGAAGTGCCATCTCCCGAACGAGAGTCACCCTACTTCCAAGACGATAGTGAACGGGAGGCACGGTCCAAATACAAAGTCTTCGCTCCCAAGAACGCAAACATCCAAGAGAACATCTTTGTGACACAGCTAACACAACCTCCCTCTCCGCCGGAAATGCTTCGTGGTCCCCGGTGGAAGAAGCCTGATCCTGGCTTGCCAACCCGAACTGTTGCCACCCCGCTACCAGAGACAACTCAAAGCAGAGAATCTGCTGCTGGTGATAGAGATGATGAGTATGATGATGATGAAGAGATGAAAGCGGCGATTGAGGCATCGTTGCAATCATTCGAGGAAGAAACATCAAGACCAGCTCCCTCCGTGCCTTTACAAAAGCCCCCATCAGCTACTCCCATTATTGGACAACAGAGCACTACCATCGAGGCCTCCAATGACCTTTTGGATGATATACCTGATGATGCCTTTGACTCAGACCTGTCAATGTCGCCGCCTCCTGCGCCCCAGCCTCGCCCGGCGGCTCGGTCATTCACACAGTCAACGAATCGCCCACTAGGTGTCCGCCAAACCACACTATTTGGTATGGTTGCTAGAAACCCAGAAAATCAGCCACCACGCGGTGAACAGGTGTACTCCCCGCCTGAGAAAAGCGAGCCACCTACTCAGCATAAACTTAACCAGGAAGCCTTGGGTACGTGGGTTTACCCTACAAATCTGGGTAAAACTCGAGACTATCAGTTCAATATTGCACAGAAAGGCCTCTTTCACAATTTGCTTGTAGCCCTACCCACGGGTCTTGGAAAAACGTTCATTGCAGCTACTATCATGCTCAACTGGTTTCGATGGACGAAGGACGCTCAGATCGTCTTTGTTGCGCCTACAAAACCGCTAGTTGCCCAGCAGATTTCTGCATGCTTTGAGGTCGCTGGAATCCCAAGATCCCAGACCACTATGCTCACGGGGGAGGCTGCTCCGGGAATCCGAGCCGAAGAATGGAAGGCGAAACGGGTGTTCTTCATGACACCTCAAACCTTGATCAACGACCTCAAAACCGGGATTGCTGATCCGAAGCGGATTGTCTTAGTCGTTGTTGACGAAGCTCATCGTGCAACCGGTGGTTATGCATATGTCGAGGTTGTCAAGTTCCTGCGGCGGTACAATCAGAGCTTCCGCGTCCTGGCTTTGACAGCTACGCCAGGCTCAACGGTGGAATCTGTTCAGGCTGTCATTGACGGCCTCGATATATCGAGAGTCGAGATACGGACAGAGCAGTCACTCGATATCAGAGAGTATGTCCATTCGAAAGACACGGATGTGCAGACATTCCAGAATTCAGAGGAGATGGTCCTTTGCATGGACCTGATGTCGAAAGCTCTACAGCCACTTCTTGATCAATTACGGAGTACAAATGCCTATTGGGGCCGTGACCCCATGGGTCTCACAGCATACGGACTCACCAAAGCCAGACAGCAATGGATGCTGTCCGACTCCGGCAGGAACGCCCATTTCGGCGTGAAGGCCAAAATGAATGCAATTTTCACGGTTCTAGCCAGCTTGGCTCATGGCATCGATCTTCTCAAATACCATGGGATTACACCCTTTTACCGTCATCTTCTGCATTTCCAATCCAACACCGAGGGACAAAAGGGCGGCAAGTATCAGCGGCAAGTCGTTCAGGATGAGAGCTACAAAAAGCTCATGAACCATTTGCAGCCGTGGACAAAGAATCCAGAGTTCATTGGACACCCCAAGTTGGAGTATCTGAAGCAGGTAGTGTTGAATCATTTCATGGATGCTGGTGAAGGCTCTGGGGCAGACGAAAACAAGGATCAACCAGCCACTCGCGTGATGATATTCGTACACTTCCGTGATAGCGCAGAAGAGGTCACGAGAGTACTCAAGAGATACGAGCCCATGATTCGGCCCCATGTCTTCGTGGGGCAGAGTAGCGCCAAAGGCTCGGAAGGAATGGGACAGAAAACACAACTCGACATTGTGCAGAAGTTCAAAAAGGGTACCTACAACACCATCGTTGCAACTTCAATCGGCGAGGAAGGTTTGGATATCGGTGAGGTAGACCTCATCGTGTGTTACGACTCTTCAGCTTCGCCTATTCGTATGCTTCAGCGCATGGGACGTACCGGTCGAAAGAGATCAGGAAAAATCACGCTCCTACTCATGCAAGGCAAAGAAGAAGAGTCCTACATCAAGGCCAAGGACAATTACGAAAAGATGCAGCAGATGATAGCCAGTGGCACCCGATTCACCTTCCATGATGACATGTCTCCGCGGATCTTGCCCCCGGGTGTGCGGCCTGTTGCTGATAAACGAGCGATTGATATTCCCGAGGAGAACACTGTGCGAGATCTACCAGAGCCGAAACGACGCGGCCGGGCACCGAAGAGGCCGCCGAAGAAATTCCATATGCCTGATAATGTCGAAACCGGGTTCACTACGGCATCGCATTTGGCCGGGACCTCGAAGCGCAAAGTACCAAATAAAAGTAAGGCTCGAACGCCGACTCCAGAGCCCGTGGAATTACCGGCGCTTGAAGATGTCCTGCTTACCCCGGCGCAGCAAAAAGAACTTGAACTCCATTACAGCAACGCCGGGCCCAGTGAAGAGCTTTTGGTCAGTTATCCCAGAAGCGACGCCTTCCCACGCCTTCAGCTCGCGCCTAGACCTACGAAAGCGGTTAGGCACGGGTCATTAACTCGTCGCATGATTGAAACGTTGCAGAAGATGGACCAGATCACTCCAGACTGTGGAGATCGATACAAGGGGATCTTAGCGCGTGAGAAAGCCTCCATGCCAAAAGCCTCGATAGTAGCGCCTAAGCCCAACGGCCGTGGGGAGGCTCAGTCGAGGACCAAAGCAAGGCACACATCCAAGGTGGTGTCATCCAAGCCAAGGAATCAGGAAGAGCAGGATGTGACTGAAGTACAACGAACCCCACCAGGCAAGCACTCAGTATCAGCGACTAACGCTGAAGTGGAACCGTTCTACTGCTCGCAGAGGACCCAAGATGGAGATACAGACGATGATTTTGACCTTCCTGATGTCTCTACTCTGTTGAATAGGAGTGTGGAGAGGCCCTCGAAACGGGGCCGGTTTGTTCTGGATGATAGTGATGACTGATTTGGACATGAACGCATAGCTTGGTTAACATTCTGCATTGGTAGTACTTTCGGTTGCATATACCCTTGGGCAATATACTTTGAAGATTACGGTGGAGTTATTCTTTGATGCCATACTAAACTTCTCCCTAGAACACCGTTACTGAACTTGGTAGTTAAGACTAGGCGGACAGTAACTGAGACCAGACGCAGGAATTCAGTTCAACCCGTTAGTTTACAATTGTATAACTCATAGAGTACTCAATGAAATCATATCAAGTAAAAGCACCTGTTATTCGATTCTAACATCAACTCTAAATCAAAGATAGAAAAGGAACAAACACGCATAATCATACACAATACAGAATCCTATAGACATCGTCCCCATGCTGCACATAATTCAAACCCCCGAGATCATCCCATCTCATTCATAGTACCTAAAATCACCATGTATCCCCCTTCATCAAGCGAAGCATTCAACCACCTCATTTCCCCACATAATCAAACTTCTTTGTCGAATGGTTATAAACATACGCATACTCAGCCACATCGAATCCCCAGGCCCCAGTAACCTTGGTATTCGCATTACACACATTCCCTGGCTTCTTATCGGTGAAAGCCTGGCAATATGGCCTGACCAATTCATTAGCATCACAAAATCCCCCCAAGAAACCACTAATAGAGAAAGAAAGGAAATACATACCCAACCTTCGCATTCTTCCCACTCTTCACCTTAAACCCGGTAATCTCGAACCAACTCCCGTCCGATTTTTTGTTCTTAGAATCATACGACTTGACCTTGTTCTTCTGGTAGAAGCTTCGAAGCGACCGCTTCTGTTCGTCTTGCGAGTTGATGGTCACGCCTACCAGGATGGCGCTGTATTGTAATAATATCATTTCGTTAGCTTGCTTTTTTTTCCTTTAGACCCCTCATAGATTGGTAGATAGCTGGTACAAACATACTCCTTTCCCCCTTCCTTCGTCGATGCAAAGGGAAACTCCTCTGCCGACACCCATCCCTTGTTATTTCCCCAGGAGTTTGTAGCCGGGGATGCTTTCATCCCGTACTTGGTGGGATCTTTGAAGGGTTGCTTGTTGGCTGCGCTGCCGGCTTCTACTTGGCGGTTTACGTCCGCTGCGTCGGTGTCGACTTTTTGCCTGTGGGATTATTGTTTTCCATTAGCTGGTTGTTGATGTCCTGGTTTGTTGGGAAAGATGAGGGTAAGGGGCATACATCACTGCGGACTTGCCCTTGCAGAGCATCGCCCAGCAATCTACGTCGTAAGTGAGGGCATCTTCGCCGCGGATCTCGATCTCGCCTTTGATGGGGTTGGATTTGCTGTCGCCTGGGTTGGAGCGAGGTTGGAAGGAGAGGGAGAGGTCGTCGGTGGTTGGGTGGGCAAGGGTATTAGGGATGGAGAGGAGAATGGTGAGGATGGGGAGTAGGGTTGATGAGAGGATCATTTTGATTGGTAACTTGCAGAATTAGGGATTGGGGATAGAGAGCCTTGAGGACTTGCTGCTGCTGTGTTGGATCGCATTGTTGCTCGTTCATTTTGCGTCTTTTATATCATGATGTTGTGGATGCTGCTCAGGGGAAGGTCTTGAGGCTATACTACTATAGTTTTGTCTGCCTTGGGAGGCCGGATTTGGGGTCTAGTGAGCTGCTTCATGGTTGATTTGGTAGTGGCAGAGGCTTGGCTGGTTTGAGGGTGGAACATGTTCGGATTGTGCTTCTAATTTGATGTATAGAGGAGAGGGAGACAGTGATATGAGGTAAGTTGGGGCCGGAGACCCTGCTTGGAGGCCTTATCAGGGTCTGATGATAGAAAAGGGAAATGTTGAATAGGAAAGTACATCTGCGGTCAGCTTACCCAACATTCTGGTCTGCAGTGAGATGAGGGTGAGACTGTTGTAGCATGGACGTCTATGCTGGGCTCAAAATGATGCTCGATTTTGTCCACATTGTGTGGACATACTAGTTTGCTCGAATGGGTCTGGTCCAATAAAAGGAGTATTGATTACAAAGTTCTTGGTGTCTGACGAGTCGATTGGATATAGTTAGCTAGATACTTCGAAATAGTTCTATGTCAATATTTATAGTTTGATGCCGGATGTAAGAGGATGCTGATGTGGGTGGTATAATGGCTACATAAATTGGAACGGATTCTATGGCTGAGTATTGACCAGTACTGGCCCCTGCATAAGAGACCCTGACATGAAACTAGTAGCCTAGCCTTTTTGTTGAAAATGAGGGGATTAGTAGCATCTGGTATGAGCCCTGCATCGAAAGTTGACGATGACTTGCTCCGCCACTGACACCAAGAAGCTACTAATCACTGGAGCGGGGTGAGCAGCCCGTCAACACAACTAACTACTCAACTGATCGTCTGCCTGACAACCTGCTAGCCTCGACCATCCACTTGTTGGCTTCACATAGTGAAACAGTTGGGATGAGGGATTTTCAGCTATTCTTTGAATTCCGCAGTCGGCTGAACCTATAAGCAGGCACACAATCCAAGCACACGAATTCGCGGTCATAGACGAAAGTGCGGATGGAAAAAGAAAGATATACAGCCTAACTACTCTCCTCAATCTTGGGTCATTTTTCAATGAATATCAACTGGATACTTACCAGCTAGTATCCGTACATTGAGTCTCCGCAAGAAGGATCATCTTATAGATCTGATTCGAAGGACCCACGGGACCAGCTACTAGTAGACAGGTGGGTGGCCCCCACCCATAATGTCTAAGCATCAGACTAACTATAAGAGCCTCGTCTCACTTCCAGGCCCTCGATTCTGCTCCATTCAATTCTCAGTCAATAGCAGTCTCGTGTTATCGCTGCCATATTGCAACCATGACGAGCATTTTCCTGTTCTGCACCTCCAACGTGCCAGCAAACGTATGAAAGCCCTGTCTTGAGAGACTATGAAGCACGACTAACTTTTACTATCACTATCAGACGATCAACCAATTCATGACAGAATTCGCCGACGCCAGCGAAGACCCAAACATCTTCTGTCTAGTCCGCACTCCCGACCAGGAACAGTTCGATGAATGGGGCACCGAACCACCCGTGCAAGACTTCACGACTGGCTTTGAAAACGCCTCTGATTCTGCTCTCCGCCTCTACACACAGAATCGAATCGATGAACTCAAGGATGCAGGCAAGGCCGGCGGGCTAACACCCGGATGGTTGGCTAAGCTTGACGAGCGATCCCGGCACGACTCGACCGTGGTTCTGCAATACCGCAAGATCAAAGCCAACTGGGCACAGGCGTTGGAAGATGCTGAAGAGCAGTTCCAAATCCCCGGTCAGGCGGATGTTGATGATCAGAATATCTGGTGGAAGTGGCGTGTGCCATTTGCGGATGCTTTCCAGCTGTTTAACAGCGTCGATGAGGGTGTCCCGGATATGATTCGACTGTTTACCCGGCCAGAGTTTATGGACTCGGAGGGTGTGCTTCATGTGGATGTCCCACGTCAGATCATCAAGGGGGAGATCCCAGATCCCATTACAGAGAGTGCAAGCTGAGGTTTTGCTGGTCTACCTCTCATCTCGGCAAATTGTTTATCTTACCCCTGCCCATCTCCCAAAATCTTATGTAACAGAAATCGGCTATACAGTCGTCAACACATCCAAGACTCAATGGACGTACTCCGTAGACTTAAATTGCCTTGATGGGAGTGGATGGTGTGACGTGACACAACTTTGTGGCTGACGTCCCAAGCCTTAAGTTGACATATGGCACTGTGGATTGCCACAAACCTCCATCTTTGATAATATCTAAGCACTGCCTGTTTTAGTCGCTCCAATCCTAGGAATCCAACGTCTGTAAGCGATAGATGAGCCTCATGATGAATATAAGCTGATTTAAGGGCGGTGATGATCTGCCAGCGATAAAATCCAACTTACCTCGATAGGCAGGCGGGGAGGGCGGCCTGGTGTGGCAGTAGCCCCACCACATTCCCGATGGGGAAATAACCTAGGGGGCGGCGGATCGCATTGAGGAGAACGGCGGAACCCGTGCCTAAACAGTAGACAGACTCAACCACAATAGGTCACATTTCAGCATATCATCATCATGGCGGACGCTCAATTCGATAGTGCGCTGTAAGTGCTATGGTCCTGTTTCTGTTTCAAGTCTATGAAGCCTGCATAGCCTCTGGGTGCAATCATTCCACGCGGTCAACCCCGCTTGTTGCCTTCCGCTGACTATCATACCTGCTTCCAGGGACCTGCTCCGGCGCCTCAACCCCCGCGACACGAAGCAAAACCTCCAGGCAATCACCTCCATCGTCCCTGATCTGACCGAAGACCTGCTCTCCTCTGTCGACCAGCCTCTAGAAATCCGCAAATGCCCCAAGACAGACCGCGACTACCTCCTCTGTGACTACAACCGCGACGGAGATAGCTATCGGTCGCCCTGGAGCAATGAATTCGATCCCCCGTTGGAAGACGGAACTGTTCCCAGTGAGAGAGTGAGAAAGCTTGAGGTCGCCGCCAACGAGGCTTTCGATGTCTACCGGGAGCTGTACTACGAGGGTGGAGTAGGCAGCGTGTACTTTTGGGACTTGGACGATGGATTCGCTGGCGTTATCCTGTTGAAGAAGGGTGAGCGAGTGATGTCTTGATACTTTCACGCTTGAAATACGTGCTGATATATTGCCATTATAGGAGTTACGCCAGGTGCTAAGAGCTCTGGGGAGTGGGACAGTATCCACGTCTTCGAGGCTACCGACAGAGCGCGCATGTCCCACTACAAGCTGACTAGCACCGTCATCCTGCACTTGGCTAATGAAACTGAGGCTTTGGGTGAGATGGACCTGAGTGGTAACATGACCCGTCAGGTGGAGGTGGATCTTCCTGTCGAGTCGGATGCGAGCCACGTCGCCAATGTTGGTCGACTTGTTGAGGACATGGAGTTGAAGATGAGAAACTTGCTGCGTATGTTTTTTTTTTATTGTGGCGCGAGAGTTGTTACATTTCTGAGCTGATTGCTAATCGAACTGTTCTTACAGAGGAGGTATACTTCGGCAAGGCTAAGGATGTCGTGGGTGAACTTCGGAGTAAGTGCAGTCTAACCAGCTGGTGGGCAATGCCAGACTAACAAGCGAAACAGGTCTCCCCTCCTTGTCCGAGTCGAACAGAGATCGGGCTACCCACCTGGAGATGATCCGGTCTATGCACAGCTAGTCGTCTGTTTGTCAGTTAAGGAAGCCATTATAGCGTCATTTTAGAGGCTGTTATTCATTTACATTTGTTGTATGTACTTCGAGCTCAAGGTTCCTGGGGATCCCAATATTACTCGTATGCGATGAACTGCAAGTGCTATGCGATCGTATTTTGTAAATACCGTACACTATGTGATGGCATGGCTAGCCATTACGACGATGAGCCCTTCATTATTATCAAGCAAAATCAATCGTCAAAACATTCAATATTTGGGTATCATAGGCTGTCCGCTTTGCTCCACCTGCAACCACATGGCAGAATACGGCATATAACTCCTGATAGTAGAGCAGTTACCATATTCGCCAAATGAAGGACCAAGCCATATCAAAATTTCGTAAATCATGCCACATCAATGGCGTCTAATCAACCTCCATCTTCTCCTGCTCGCTCTCTGTCTTCGCTCCCGAGCTCACAGACGCCGGATTGCTAATCCGCTCCACGAACTCCCTCGCAGCAGCCCACAACTCCGCTTCCTTATCCTTGCCCACCGTGTCCTTCCGACTGTTGAGCCAACTAACATCGAGCGGGTTCGACGATGCGCCCGCCACCCCGCCACTGCTCGCCCCGGGTAGATTTTCCGCTCTCGACGCTGTCTCCGGCGCAAGAATAGACGCCTCCTCCAGAGCATACACCTGACGACGGAGTCGAACGTCAATGGACGAAAGGAGGGCGAAGTATTGTGAAGTGGCCTCCTTGAAGCGGGCTTGGTGGGATGCGAGGGAGTTGTCCGAAGGTGACTCGCCCGACCGAGCGTTGGTCAGGGCTTGAATTGCAAGACCCGCGGAGTGAATTAGCTTGGCCACATCCTGTAGTAATTTGCGAAGATTAGTGAGGGTGGAATGAAGTCAATGACACAGCATAAATAATGTAGTAGCGTGGAAGTTGAGTATCCATCGCTAGCTAGGCAGCATTTCGGTGGTGTCGCGCGGGGAATTAATCTCGGCCTCTATTTCTTTTCTGTGAACTTACCTTGTCTATTTCGTTCAATTGCCGGATACGATCCGCTGATGTGAAGACTTGGTCTGGTTTGCGGGTGTCTTTGACGTCTGTCATATTGAATTGCTCTGAATTTCGTGTTTATGTTCCAGGCTGCCAGCAGAAGGAAGTAGTAAAGTAGAAGTGACAGGTAGAATTGGCGATGGAGTAACTACTTGATCTGGACCTGCGACCAACAAGCTCCGTCACGTGCTAACCCAACCCGGGGAACTCTGCTTACCTCAGCCGGGGCCCGACGCGCTAGTCCAGAAGAGTGATAGTGCGATATCAGAACTTCAAAACCTCCCGTGAATACTTGCGCGCCTCGTCCTGCCGTCACCCTGCTGTTACTTGCGACTCGCTATTTACCCCGTCTCATACGCTCACTCCTCTCTCTCCGTCTCTACGTCAGAGATTACAGGTCGATCTGTAACTGATCGTTCAAGCGCAATGTCTGCGCCAGGCGGGGCCCCCAGCCCTGCTCCCCGAAGTGGAAGCATGGGGCCCGGTGGTGGCATGTCTATGCCTCCTCAGCAGCCCATGACCAACGCCGGGCCTGTCACTCCGGGTCCTCCTGCGCCTCCGCCGCCGCCTCCCGGAGGTCCGATGTCGCAGCAGAACTTAAATCAAATAGTAAGTCATTAACTTATCTTGGAATATCTATGTTTGTTGTTGGGGTGTACTATGTTTCATTGCGTCATGTGCCTGTGGTCTGGATTGCGGTGATAAGGTGATGTGTTATTGTTGATACGTGCTATCCCGGTGTATACTTTACGTTCATGGCTTGTCTATGATTGCGAACTGTATCGCTTGTGATTCTTCTCTTTACCCAGTTAGAGGGTTATGGGGAATGGCTACGTTCGCTGTCGGGGCTTCGTCTTTGTCATCCAATCTTTGCCGTTCCTCATGTCGGTCGTATATTGCTACTACTATGCATCATGCTTTCACCTTGGACATCAACGTTTGTAGTAACGTGTTCCAGGTTATCGATTATCTTGCAAAGAAGGGCTATAGTCGTACGGAGGCTATGCTACGTATTGAGTCGGCACATCAAGAGATCGATGGCCGTCCTCCTATGCCCCCTCTTGGCGAAGATGCACGGCCTAAGTATAGGATGGGTTTTGGTATGTCCCTTCGGGATTTGATGATACGAAATAGTGCTAACAGTGCATAGACTTGCTCAAAGTCTGGGTTGAAGACAACTTGGATCTTTACAAGGTAAGAAGCAGAAGCCTGCTCACGTGTATCAGAACCATACTTACATCCTAAAGCCTGAATTGAGACGTGTTCTCTGGCCACTGTTCGTCTACACCTTCATTAATATGGTGTCTTCCTTCAAGCCACAAGACGCCAAGCAGTTCTTTGACCTCAACAAAAACCTCTTCCTGCCTGAGCACACGAAAGATGTGCGGGCATTGGAGCCGATCAGCCTGCCGGAGCACGTGCAGGCCAATTCAACCGCCAAGTTATATCGTACAAACAAGTACCGTTTAGTTCTCAGCAACCCCGCGTTTTCGAACCTCATGCAATTCCTGGAAAGCAAGCAGAAAGAGGGTGGCTCAGATATGACTGCCATCTTAAGCAGTTATTGCACTATCATCACCAAAGAGCGTACTGCAGATGATAGGTTCAGTTTCGCAGCGATGCTGGGCCAAACAGACGGTCAGACATTTCCCAGTGAAGACGAAGGCATTCCTGGGCACCATCCCGGCTCTGCATACACCGGAGACAACCCGAACATGGCGGGAACTCTGCCTAGGCTTAAGCTAGGAAAGCTTCCCCTGGAGCAAGCTCTTGAGACTGATGTTAGGGGCGAGCTGGCGGATGAAGATGCGAAGAACCCTCCAGGCCCGGGCCAGAACACTCTGATTCAAGAGTTTGACCAGATGATCAAGAAGGAAGAAGATGAAGAAGCTCCAACTCGTGCCGATATCCCCTATCCTCCGTCAACTGCTCGAGATGTGGCCATAGAGATTCAGAAGGTTAAGGAGAACCGCGACAGGTTTAGGATTGAGGGCAGAACTGGTGGCGTGGGTCCCGCTGTGAGCGTCTGCATGTTCACCTTCCATAACACCTATGATGGGTAGGTAGCATGGACTCCTCGGTACTAGATCTTGACTAACAACCAACAGAATCAACTGCTTGGACTTTTCGGATGACCTTATGCTCGTCGCAGCTGGTATGCAGGAGTCATACATCCGGGTCTGGAGCATGGATGGCAAGAAAATACAATCGACCTACGACAATGTGGATGATGCTCCACCTTCGAACTCCCGCCGTCTAATCGGACACTCCGGGCCAGTCTACGCGGTGGCATTTGCACCATCGATTACCAAGACAGACAATGCCATGGCCCCGACGAACGCTCGCTGGCTGCTTTCGTCGTCTGCAGACAAGACCATTCGTCTCTGGTCCTTAGACCTCTGGCAGTGTATGGTAGTCTATAAGGGCCACGACCAGCCGGTTTGGGACCTTCAGTGGGGCCCCTACGGCCATTACTTCGTTTCTGGTGGACACGACAAGACTGCCCGCCTTTGGGTTACGGATCATATCCGCCAACAGCGTATTTTTGTCGGACACGACCAAGACGTCGACTGCATCTGCTTCCACCCCAACTCGGCGTACGTCTTCACCGGTAGCTCCGACCATACAGTCCGCATGTGGGCCGTTACCACCGGAAATGCGGTCCGTATGTTCACCGGACACACTGGCAACATCACTGCCTTGGCATGCAGTCGCGACGGAAAGCTCCTCGCCTCGGCAGATGACCACGGATCCATCCTGCTGTGGGACCTTGCTCCTGGCCGACTTCTCAAGCGCATGCGCGGTCACGGAAAGGGCGGGATCTGGTCCCTGAGCTGGAGCGTCGAATCAACGGTTCTAGTATCCGGAGGTGCTGATGGCACTGTCCGCGTGTGGGATGTGACGGGCCCCGCTCAAGATCCCTCCCAGGGCCGTGTCGTCGGCGAGGGCGGCGCAGGCACCAAGGTCGATGGCAGCAACCAGCCAGCACCCAGCACTGCGCAAACTTCAAGCGCGGTCGCCCCGGGTATGGGCAAGAAGAAGGGCAAGGATGTAGTGGTGACGCCCGACCAGATCAGTGCTTTTCCTACAAAGAAGAGCCCTGTCTACAAGGTGAAATTTACGAATATGAATTTGATCATTGCTGGGGGCGCCTATCTTCCTTGAGTGAGGAACATGTATGCAACAGCGCCAGATACCCTTTATTCCTTTTCTTTCTTTCCGCATTGATCTATATCATCTTTCTGTTCTTCGTTTAATACGATATCCTGTCTTTTTATCCATACGTGTGGCAGGATACTCGATGGCATGTGGCGTCTTGGGGGCATTGACGGTGGGCATTGGTGTTGGTGGCGGCATTGTATTTAATCAGGGATGGAATGATCCTACTACTACTTGCTACTTATCATTCCAAACACTCAATACAGCTATCACTATGAAACAGCACTTACTTCCTACGTGCATCATCGTTTTATACAGCGGGAAAATGTAGTATAGACCTATGTTCAACATCTAGTTTACTATATCATATGATCATATCTCCTTAAACAACCCTCCAGCTCCAGCACCACTCCCAGCCCCCTTCTTCATCGCCGCCGAAGCCTGCAAATCCGCCACCTTAGGCGGCAGAACCAACGCACTGCGATCATTCCTTTTATAAAAGTCTACCAAAATCTGCGCCGTCTTGGCCGGTTGATCTTCCTGTATAAAGTGGCCTGCTTCTGGCAGGACTTGTAGTTGATATTTACCTGCAGAATCAATACCATCAATATCAGCACATAACTCACAGTAACACAGCGTCAAAGCAACTAAGATAAATAACAGGAGTGGAATGGAAGTATACGCACCTTGCATCTGCCCAATCATCAACTCTTTGTCGAGACGATCCGTCCCCGCTAAGAGGAGTAACTTCCCACCACGAGCATCGAGGAACTTGCGACTTAAACCGACGAACCAGTTCTCCCAGAAAGGTTTCGTGGCGGAGAGATTGGTTCGCCAGATCCATGGTTTGGTGGGGTCGGGTGAATTGGGGTCTTCGTAGAGGAGGGAGGGAACGGAGACGCGGGCGGAGGTTTTGTTGCGGATTGTGCGGGAGCGGGTGCTTTGGAATTTGTTTAGTATTTATGCGTGGGGGAAGTTAATAAAGGGATTGGGAGAGCTTAC